ACAAAATTACAATAAAATCTACTAACAATATTCAAAATTCAAAGATGATAAAGAGGGAATACGTATGCTGCAGTGTAGTCAATTATGGATCATGCTACCACAAATCTTGATTCACTCATGTCATAAGGAACTTAACTAAGGAATATATACTTTTCAGCATTGTTCAGACGAACAGTCAATAAGCTCACAGATAGACGAGATGTCTTGAATGCAATAACAACACAATCCCAAACATAAATTGTTACCAGAGTTCTACCAACATATCAACACAAAAGTTGAAAGAAGAGTAGTAATATCAGTAGTAATAAGACGGAAAGAAAAATGAATAGTGTGAATTCAGAAGGTTTTGATGAAGCTATAATCTAAGGCACTGACACCGTTAATATTAGTTTTCCGCTGAGTAACCTAAAAAACACTATCTTATAATTTTCGTTGTTTCTTTGTTGTCATTCAAGAAACCTAAATTCCTTAACATGACTCAGGGATGTTTAACCCAGATTATCCTTAGTAGTTTAATCTTCAAAAGAAATTTATGCATGAAAGCGACAAGGTAACGTAACATTAATCAATTTTATATAAACTACAAGTTCAATCCAAACATGAAAAATAACTTATTTTCTAATTTAGGAAAGAAAAAAACTTTCAGGATGATAAACTTAAATGATAATCTAGTTTTCGGATAACTAACATGCAAAAGCTAACTGACAGTTAATGTTATTTAAACTTGCTCTATTTATTTTGAACAGTATCATGACTCTATTGATGTAGGTGCGTTGATTAGTTTAGCCTTTCGCCTCCTTCACAGGGAATACATGAATCAAGCATAACCTTACAACTTTAGGTATTCAAGTTTAAAGTTGGAAGTATCATTTATATAAGAAGTGTCTTTAAAATGTTAATTATTGTGAGTACATCGTAAAGCAAACAGTATAAAGCGAGACAAGCCTGTTGTGTACAAAATCTGTATTACCAAAGAAGGAGACCGGTTTGTAGGCTTGCTCTTTTACTTTGTTAATCAAATAATGTAAACTTTTTTATCATTATCAATACAGCTCAACTTAAATTCAGGCGTCATTACATCTGTATTTTCTTCTTAAAGTACTTAAAACGATGATACCTGACAAAGATGACATACACTACTAGTTAAGGTATTGGTCAAAGAAATGCTAATATAGTCTATTTCACTAATAAAAACCACATGAGTAAAGTAGAGCAATGTAGACAATAAAATTGCTGAAAATGTGCAAAAGCAATAAATTTGCCAGTAGAGTATGTAATATTTATCATTCTAGACAGGTTTTTCGTCCTAGTTTAGTATTCCTCAACAGTGCGGGGTCAGAACCCAAGACCTTCTGGTCACAAAGCAACCTCGTAGACCATTCAGTGACTGGGACCCGATCCAGTGGTCAGTGCATGAACTCAAACTTATGCCGATTTACGATATATACGGCGCAATCACTAGCCAATACCATGGATGAGTAACTATCCTGTCGCCAGACTTGCAGTACCCAGCTGGTTACGACTTCTGATTAGATCCGCACATAACTTCCTGTAGAGAGCCAGTTGCTGCTGAGCGTCAGATTAATTTCCAGACGTTGGTTTTTAAAGATTTGATTAGTCACAGGTTGGAGAACCATTGGAAACCCAGGGAGTACTGAACAGTTGTTACGTCCTACTTCGGGATTCTTCAGCAATACTCACTCGCCAGGGGTTCGGACCCAGGACCATTCAGCCAAAACACCCTGGTTTACCAGCCGTTCTTGAATTGATCTCAGCTCGTGACCAGACCCAATGACAAATCAAATCCCTGCAAACCAACACTTGAAAATTTATCATTTACTTTGTCTTTACAATGTAGGATTAAACTGTAAAATCAGGTTGAATTAGGTTGGAATAGTCTTTAACATTGACCTACAAGTCTGATAATTGCTGGTATGAATTACACATGTCATCTGAATGTAGTCTTTGAGTTGGCAGAAATAAATTACTCCACATCTTAGATGATATCATTCAAAAATGATCACTAGAGTACCAAATGCAGTTAGTCTAGAATATTCCTTGATGAGTTTTAGTGAATGACTACTCAAAATCTATTTGATCTATGCATAATTATGTTTTTCTTCGTCTTTATTTTTAACTATTAGTTGCCTACTTTACTGAATAGCTCTTCGCGTATATTCGTAAAATTTTGTCACCTTACAGAAAACTATTGTTTCCCTAGCTGATAATATCATTATTTTCATTTCATTACCACCTACCTACCTTGTTGACTTCTTCGACTAAATGCACTGATATAAAGTATGGCGACTAAGACGGAAAGAAGGTTATTATTATTACCAATATTATTATTGTTTATGTCTAACTTTATTGTCTCTCTAAGATTGAATTTTAACACACGTTATCCTTTGCCTTCAAAGGCAGTATAGTATTATTACATTTAACAACAATGAGATGAGAAAGTGAACCAGACATACAGACAGATACCTTATTCGCCTTTCTTCAATCCAAAGAAAATACTAAAGTAAATAAACAAACTGTGTAAGGACAAATTCCGAAGAAAGAAAACAAATTATCATCACTAAGGCAAATATTTTTTCTCACTTGTTTACCTTGCTCCAAGTACTAGCTGACAAGATTTTTTTAAATGTCTGTTCTCTCATAATCTAACAATAGTAGTAATAGTACATTCTTAAGAAAAGCTTCTCTCCAATTCCCACTTATTTAAGCCTTTATAATTAGTTAATTAGTCAAATTAATGCTATTGTAATTCGTTTCACACGGTATTCTGTTGTTGAAATCTCTAATAATTGGGAATTGCTACAGTAAATGTTACAGTATTGAAAAACAAAAAACATTTATTCTTCAAAATAATAATAATAATCATATGAAGACAATTCACATTTTCAAATATGACGAATAAATATTGTTGATAATATGCTGTGTAAAATTTTCATTTTCGAACAAATTGCATATGTTCTGAACTGTATTCTCCACATAAGTGGAGTTAACAGAATTACTGAGATGCACACACACACACACACACACACACACACAAGAAAGGTGGTATTCTATAACCGATATTCAGACTATCAATCTCCAATTCATTGATGGCTACTGGATAGTTGTCCCGATGCTGTACTGAGAAGCAAGGTGAAATGGATGCACACTGAAGGCATTGATTTGAAGGTGGCGTTATATCAACGAACTGACAAAGAAGTTAGAATCCATAGTTCAGTGAATTCCAGATCAAGTGTCTGAATGGTCAACGGCATGGTCTCACAAACCAATGGTACAGGGTTCAATCCTCCCTGGTGGAGTCATGGGTGTGCACTGATGAAGAGACCCAAAACAGGACGAAAAAGTCTTCCAATGCTCCCTGGTTTTCATTGATCTATCTGACTGATGTTAGTTCGTGACAAAATCTGAAAACTGATATCTTGATTCCAAAAGATAAGAGCTTTAAATGATCAAGGTCATGGCTGGATAACAAGAGAAGCCTAAGTTTATTCATCATTTCCACAAAGTGCCTATTTTAAAACAGCCTCTCTCATCTAAATAGTTACCTTTACTCTTTTTGATCTTTCAAGTTGCGAAAGTTGAAATCACTAAAGACATTGAAAAGACAGAAAGTGAGTGTCATGAGAGGATATCAGCTCATGAAGTTTGATAGTAGTAAGCTGTTTGGTTGGAATAAACGAAACAACTAAAAATCGATATACCATAATCCTAAACTATTTAGTACATAATTGATTATAGTAGTGCAAGTGTAGTCAAGCGATACCTCACATAAATATTGAAAATGTCATTACTACTCACTACCGTTGGTATTATTATCGCCTCATTTTACCTTAAATAATTTCCTAATTGTCATGTTTATGCGGCCTGTGATAACCACATATTGATAAGCAATTATATCAGGTCACCTTTTTTATTTCTATCTACGTATCCTAATTGAAAAGTAGTTTAAAATTATGTTAATGGTAGGTAGCAAGCATGGGAAAATCAAACGGTGAGTATGATGGCTACCAGCAACACTGAAACATACGCTGCTATTAACAACAATATTAACTCAAATATCGTTCATAAAAAAAAACTTCTTGTATCTTAGTTGAATCACAAGTGTGTTATTACGTATGGGAAATGATGGAAAGCTTTGTTTTATGAAAGTGAAACACTCTCATATGGAAATTAGCTATACCAACCCGTCTCGACTTTTTATAACACCAAAATGTAATCCACCATACTTACACTATCTTTTGATTGTAAAATTAAAATATATCCATTGTGTTGACTGTATTAGTTCGTATAGTACCATATGTACGTGACTCTAAGATAATTCTTAGCCAATTTCATAAAACTACTTCGAATGCATTGTTTGATATTAGACAATCAAAGCCTTTAGGTTTTCCTTTTCTCTAAATATATATTACGGTAACTTCGTAATATTGTAACTATGGGTTGAGAAAAGCAGGAATGAGCAATTCGCTAGCCTGTTGAATATGTATATATATATTGATGTAATCTCTGTGGTGTGCCTCATTCACTTAACCATTAGGCCTTCAGTCGACCAGCGTTGGGTTCGAGTTCCGCTCCACCTAAGTCAACACTCTCGTAATAAGTGTGGCATATAGTCTGGGACTTGAAAGACCTGTTTTGGGTTCTGGAGTAATCTCCGATTGGTCTACACTATGGAACAACATCAAGTGCATATAGACCTAAAAACCACTTCATTAATCACCCTACACATTCATTGGTCAAACGCATACAATTTTCCCACTTTCTTTTTCCTTCAGTGAACAGCAACCTTATATCCACCCAGCTCTTAAAAATATATTTATAGTGTTTTCTACAGAAGTTCTCAGTATTTCCAGTCCAATATCATACAAACAATAAAATTATCTAGCCAAGATGTGGACTTAAATAAACTTAACTATAATGATACTTATGTTTAGTGACGAAAAAGCAAAAAATTATAAAGAAATGAATAAAAAAATACTTACCGCTATAATCTGGCAAACTGTTTCTAGTATCTCTAGTCGAACAATTTGTATTATGTTGAACTGATCCGTCACCGAGGAATGATAAGTTCGTAAGGCACTGGTTAGTGGAAACATCAGAAAAACGCATACTGGTTGTATTTGTACGTGGATTAACTTGCTGATCAGCCCTGTTTAATCTCCTGTTATAAATACCATCTGTGTAATTATCGGGTTGTTCCGTATTTGTAGAAACAGTGGTCACTGAATTGCGTGAATTCTCACCATTTATTTTTATGTCCGTAGTATAATAACTATTTGATGATAAAGATGAATAATTTTGAGAGAAACGACGTGTTGATGTATTCGAAGGAGGTTTCGACTTTCGGCGTTTATGAACACAATGACTGTCTTTTATCTCTTTAGAGTATTCATCATTGCTCTCATCATCTGGGTCTGAATCTTCTTCGGGAATAAAGAGATTATCATGTTGTAACGGTGCAGAACCAGGTCTGTAGATAAATGTAGGTTTTCTGCATGACGAATCTAAGTATGCGGTATAAGATACAGTCCTAGGTCGATTATTATTATTAGTAGTAGTAGTACTGTGATTACGATACTTAACAGTATCTGAACTGGAACTATTGTCAATTCTACGATTTGGTCGCTCCCATATACGCGAATTAGAATGTCGATTTGCTAAAGAAGAAGATGAATTCGAAGAACAAGACTGATGACTATGAATAGTGTACGCATCATGAATAGGAATTGGCCGGTGTAATGGAGTGGATCTATTTCCATGTGGACAAACAGAATTAGGTGTTATTGTAGATGAAAATAAGTTGCCAGAATCAGTTGCGCTTTTAGGTGTGTCGTCCGTATTGACATTCGTCAATCCATCACAGGACTTTACACCTGTAGAATTGTCTTCATTTACTGAGTTCATAACAAGAGATAGAAAAGGCGAAAATTTGGATGTTGTGGTTTCTGAATAAGAACCTGCCACATTTAAAGGACTTTGTACTGCTGGACTACATGACACGTAGGCACAAGAAGGATATGCATTTGAACAAGACCATGGAGTTGACCATGTGGGTGAATTTTTTATCATATCACCCATACTTCTCACAAACATTCTATCTGAAAGTTCTTCATTCAATTCGCTAGCGCAGGGAAGATTACTTAAACATGAACACGAGTTAGTCACCATGCACCTATGACTTGCGTCTGGCTCATTTAAAGTGGTTGGGTCCCAAGTCGAATGTTCTGGACCTGATTGATTGAACATAAAACTTCTGTCGTTATTCGATGAAGTCAGTGGTACGTAAATAGGATTAGGTAAGGCACAGTAAGATGAAACCAAATTCGGTGGTGATCTAGTCTTCGAATCTCCTCCTCCAGTCCAACTCGAAAAGCCGCTATCTGTATTAGTGCAAACTTGCTGAATGGAACTCGAAGAGTCACACTTATTCCAAGAACAGGATGGAGTAGTTATTGTTGTTCTACCAATTGGTGGTGAATCAATATATGGACTTGATGTGATAGTTTCGCCAAACAAATCTAAACTAGGAGATGTTGGTATGTCAGAAGAGGATAATATATCCGACTCGATGTTACGAATTAAATAACGACTACAAAATGGTTCCAGTTGTTCAATACAACTTTGAGAATTATTTTCCGAATTGTTATAGGTGCTTGGTGGATCCAATTTGTCATCACTCATTCGGATTGAAGTCTTATAGCACTAAATTTGAAAAGCACAAGCCCTAAACACGTGTATTTCAGCGAATTGCCTTTCGAATGCCATGTCAACTTCATTTAGCGAATCAAATAAGTCTTGTCTTATTTGCTGGCTTCGAATTAACCAATCAGTTTTAATTATATTTTTAGTAATACGTTTGACCAATGAACTACTCAGACAGAATAGCCCAAAGCTTGTCATCACTCTATTATTCGACCAATGAAATTGAAGTAGACTGGATACATCCAGGGCAGACTAATGTATGCAGAAAAGTCACGTGCCTTCTCTATTTGTCCAGACCATAAACAAGTTGTATGACCTTAGATTTTAAGAATTAACCTTAAAAGTAAACACAAAAAAGGTTGTTATTATAAATACCATTATGTAGTAGCACGACAGAATTCCTAATAGATAAGATCAAATTAAATTGATATGTGCACGGAATTCTTTCCCCTAATAGTAGAAAATATAGCAATTTATTGAAAATATGTTGTAAAATAAAATCTGTGAAATAAAAAAGCGGATTAAACACATCGAACTACTGCACATGAATTATCAGAACTCAAATTATTTCCTGCTTAATAGTTTTAAAAACTACTGCATTATTCATCAATAAACGTCTTGGTCTTCAACGTAATTACAATGATAGGAAAACTAGATTTTTGTGTTCTATTGTCTTCATTCCAATAAATCCAAAAACTATGGAACTAGTCATTTACTTATCCGTTCCTATTTAGATGACTTGGATACATGTTGCTAACAAAAACATTTTGTTATTATTATTCGTTCTCTGCCTTCCGAGTGCAACATTGCTACAGTTGCAAACCTCCAGTCTACTCTGTTCCTTGTCGTCCACTTTTCACCCGGCTCCATGACTGCTCACCAGCTTCGTTTTTCTTTTCACATAATCTTCTCTATGTCACCCTCGGATGAACACTGAACTTGTTACTTCCTATTTGGGATTTACCTGTGGGTCAGCCAAGTTCATTATGTCACTTGAATGCCTCCTCAGAGGATGTTCAGTACATCTCCATTTCGTCTGCATATCTGTTGGTCAACAGGTTATTGGTTAGTTCTCCACCAAAGCCCCTTGTGATTCCATATTAGTTTGTTTATTTGATATATCACACAGTGAAACAGTATTATTTATTGGATCCAGTAAATAATACTGTTTCACTGTGTGATATATCAAATAAACAAACTAATATGGAATTACTTACTACCACAGTGCCCAAGTTTTACACATATATTAATAAAGCCCCTTGTGATTTTTCCTCTATGGTCGCCCATCTGGTCTTCAGTACTAAGACAGAGAAGTTGGCAGATATTGATAAAAGTCCGTAATTGTCTATATGCATTGATACTAAAAGATACATATCGTGTCTTTTCACGGCTGATTTGTGATCTTGGATTCTAATTCGAAGGGGACGCCCACTTTGGCCAATGTAATGGTTGTTACAGTTCAGACAGTTTATTTTGTAAATGGTAATAATTTTATCCCCTTTCTCTGTTGGATCTTTCAGTTTGCATAATATCGAATTAAGCGATTTGACTGGCTTGTGTGCTATATCCATATCAAGCGGTTTCAGTATTCTAGCTGTTATTTCAGAGATATTTCTTATGTATGGTAGGATGAACTTTCCTGTGGTCTTTGATGACGGTTCTTTGTTGGTGTTTTGATGCGACTTTAAATACTTTTTGATGAAATTTTGTGGATCACTATTCTTTTTGAAGACCGTTTGTAGGTATTTTTCTTCCATTCTTTTCAACTCTGGAGTGCTACAATGTGTTTGAACTCTTTTAAACAATGTCTGCACACAGTTTCGTTTGTGAGTAATTGGATTATTGCTAGTATAGTTGAATATTTGATCTATGTGCGCTGATTTCTTTAAACTTGTGTTTCTAAATTTCCTGTGTTGGTTAAGATATTTAACCCTATTCAGTAAATGGGTAATAATTTCTTATGTTAAATGGACCAATTCTTACTGTACAGAACTCAGTTAGCATCCAAGTTGCTTCTGATTGTTGTGTGTCTGTCAACAACTGTGTTGTAATATCATTTTTGGGCATATTTTTGGGTTACTTGTAACTTGAAATCAAGCACCAATCAATATATGAATAGATAAATTACTTACTACTAAAGAAATTAACTGTTTGGTCCGGGTTCGATTCCCCTGCCAACCTACTCCTAAACTTTGCCTAGCCAAGAGTAAGCCCAGTCAAACCCTGCTACTCAAACTCCAAAAGCCTGAAGCCTTATGTTCCACTAAGAATGCTAGGAATGAAGAAAAATCAACTGATAGTAAGACTTTCCATATACGAATTCCCCTTACTGAATTTCAACAAAGCGATAACACAACATGGACAGGATAAAATGGATCCATTGATGAATCGAAGTGCCACGTTAGCAAATTATAAAATATTATTATTAATATTATTGTTCCCTTGGGTTCCTAGTGGAACATAGAGCTTCACCTGCTGTACTTTTCACTTGCATTCATGTTAGTCCATACTGTTTCAACTCTTCTTCACACGATCTCCTCCATGTCACCCTTCGACGTCCCACTCGCCATTACCCTTTCGGGTCCCACTCGAGCATTGGCCTGATGCGCGATGTCACCCAACGGCCTCCTCAGCCAGTGAGTGTCCAATCCATCTCCACTTTCTCCTGCATATTTGTTGAGCGATTGGTTATTGTTTTGTTTGTTCCCACAGTTTCCTGTTGGTGATTCTTTCCGGCAGCCATCTGATCTTCAGTATGGAGCCAGCGAAGACAGTTGTTGTTGATAAAGGTCTGCAACAGGCTGTTGGAAATATTCTTTGTGACACACTGGCCAAGTTTCTGATCCATCCGTATAGAAGAACTGACTTGACGTTTGTATTGAAAATCCGAATCACTTTGTTGTTGATGCAGGCTGAGTGACGAAGATTTCCAGATTGGTTTCAGGTTGATGAATGTGTTTATCGCCTTCCTGATTCTCGCTCGATTTGACATCCTCGTCCGTTCCTCCTGTGGTTGAGACAATGCTCCCTAGATTAGTGAATGAAGTAACCTCTTTCAAATCCCTCCCGTTGATGGTGATTGGCACTGGATGTTGCTGTCGTTTTTGTTGTTGGTTGGTTATTTTCATAACCTCCGTCTTGTCTATGTTCACCTGGAGTCCTGTCTTTGCTGCAAGCCTCTTTGGCCAGTTTATCGGTTTTCGCTTGTAAGTCTTCGATTTTGTGTGACATTAAACATGAATCATCCGCGAAATTCAGGTCTTCTAGGTTCTAGCAAATTATAAAATATTGCTCTACTTATAAGTATAATGTGTTCGGAATTTCTCAAATGAAACAAATGTGGGGGGTAAATGGTGAAGCTATTTGAGATAGACTTAGGTTAACCAATTGTTACTGGAGTATTTCTATAGGTGATAGAAAATTGAAAATCCGGGTTGTTGCAAGATTGAAACTAACTGCATCCTAATTACCAGACTGGCTCAATTACCACCACGGGTTATACGGTGAAATAATGATCCGTTTGACAGTTGTTTCTCAGTTGGTAGAGCACCGGACTAGTAATTTAAAGACAGTCGGGTGAAATTCTATTCAGGTTCAGATTTTCACTTCAATTTCAAACATCACCAATCATAGAAATAAATTAATGTTAAGGATAAAGATAGCTATATTTATAGGATATATATATATATATTCACCTAGCAAACAATTTTAGACAAAAGGCATTCCTTCACGAACTGATGCTGTTTAGAGTACTACTAAAATCTGAAGAACGATAAGTAAACATAACCCTGTAAATAGGTACAAATCTAGAACTGTAGAATTCTGAGGCGTACAAACAAGTCATCATCATTGATTTATTGGGTTGAAATTCAGCTTTAAAACGTAATAGTTGTTTTTTCTGAAGAAAAGAATTTCAAATAAAAGCGAAAGGGGTAGCTTGTATTGAAACCTACCTTGAAATGTTTCATTTTTCCATGAAACTTAGATACACATATGCGCAATGGATAGTGGCTCTTATGATATTATTGTTATTAGTATTGTTCCATTGGGTTTCGAGTGGAACATACGACTTCAACAGCACGTTTCCACTTTGTCCTATTTTCTGTGGCCCTCTTTAGCCGACCTCACAGTTGCCCATAGTCTCTGATCTCCTCCATGTCACTCTCGGACGCCCCACTCGTTGTTTCCCCTTCCAATATTGGCTAACAATAGATTATTGAGTGTAAAAACTCATCCTACATAGAACTAACTGACTGAACAATACTATATGACGTTAAGGGTTAAAGTTCCCCATAAAGATACATTTTCAATACACAATATCTTTAATTTCCTGACCTTATGCTTATTCCCTGTCTTCGTTTAAAACCTTTAAAAAAAATCAAGAATACAAAACTTAAAATTATAATGATAGTCTAACAGTTTATTTTCTACAGACTAAATGCCACGTTGGATAACTTTGACAATTTGTCAATATTTACATACATGTTTCACCGATAAAATGATGAAATATTGTTGTCTATTTACAATATGCACTTCATCAGAATATTTTAGTGATAACTTATACATAACACAGTGCACTTTACTTTTTTTTCTTCGAATAATACATTTATTTGCACTACTTACTAATACAGATAGATAGCCTTTAAATATCGATTTTTTTTCCTTGTTTTAAATATATATGTGATATTATAGAGTTTGAAGGTAATTAAATCATCACATGATTTATTGATTTTAAAAAGCTGCTCTTAATAATAGTATTTAAATCAAGGATATTATTATCGTTATCACTATTATTATTATTATTATTATTATTATTATTATTATTAATGCTGTCATTACAATCGGGATTCTACACTGTTTTTTTCAATGTATATCGGTTATTTAGTTATTAATTGAATTATTTGTATGAGAAGACATCTGAATTAAAGTAGAATATTCCTATTGAGTAATAAATAGAATGGAGGGTTAACAGTGCTTCTCTAAAAAGGTTGCACTTAACTAATACTCATTTCTAAAAAGGGGGTAATAACAGGATGATTTAAAGAAAATTA